ATTAAAGTCCACAGAAAATAGTAACTCGCAATTGAATCATTACCGTTGGCGCGTAATCGTATTACATTGTATCCAATCTGACCGACGAGAATCATCCGGAACACCGAATCAATTCATTCGTAACGCGACAGTGCGCCGACTGGCTGCTCGTTTCGGGGACCAAGCAAGTAATACGCGTTACACGAAAAGGCGTATGATTTCGCTGGCGAAGTGGTTTTAAGAAACGGGTTTAACGCTACCAATCACGACGAAATCAGGGCGACTGTAATTCGTCAGCGAGATACCGACAAGGCATAACTGCAGGTCATTTTAAAAACAAACCTCGCGTCTCACGAGAAATGAAACTTGTAATCGCGAATGATTTATCCGGGCGATCGTTTCTCGATTACCGTCGGGGAAGTCGCAAACTACACTATAATTTAATTGAAACGCGACCCGGGTACAGTTTTTACAACGGTTCAACGGGTTTCGCGGAAATACCGGATGCTCGGCGGCTTTATGCTCGACAGGTTCAAACGAAATTCTCCTGGTAAGCAAATACTCGATACGAAGCTAGACAAAACTATAATCGCAGCGATGTGAAGCTTACGCCGTTCCAGTCGCGTCGCGATCGCATAAGGTTCCAGAAAATCGTGTTAATGAGCATTTCGCTCTGACCGCGCGCAATTAGGATCCCGTAGATGACGCATGGTCCGAGAAACGCCTCGAAAATTGCGATCCATTCATCACGCGTGGCCGCGAGAGATCGCGCGGAATTTCGAAGAATACGTCGGGACAGGCAAGATAATGCGAATCCGGGGCACATAAAACACCGTGTCCGACCGGGAGCGTGTCGGTCTCCCTTCCGACTTTTTCAGATCTCGAAGTTGTATCAGCAACGGTTAACCGAGTCTTTAAGAGTCATAAGAGTTCGCGGGCTTCAAGAATTCCTACTACTCGGCGAGTCTCGCGAGCCACGAATTCCGCGCGCACTCTCATCCCCCTCGGTATATTTAGTGCAATCGAATAGCTGGTTCGCGATTCGACCCCTCGAGCAATCGGAAATAATCGGTTCGCCGGAAATCTCGAGAAGTATAGAGTCCGTAGTGACGCGGAATTACAGCTCGGGAAGTCGTTAACGCTAAAACTACCGGGCGAACCGAAGTGAGCCATTTGAACATTTTTATCTTGCGATTATCAACGTTATGAACGTCTCTTTTCAAGGAATCGTAAAATAAATTTGTATATTATGGCTGCAACATTAAGATGTTCAACTCTGAAATAATGTACTCTTTGAATTTTGAAAAGAAATTGTATGAATTACTCCGATTGATAGTTCTAGCGTTGAAGCAAACATTCTCACTTTGCTTAGCAGAGTTCTTCCATCGAGAAGAGTATCAAAGGATTCTCCGCTGACAAAATTAGTCAGCCGTATAACTGTATTCGGATACATCGAATCAGCTTGGAATTAATCCTGCTAGCGAGACGTCTTGCCTTGAATAATCACCGATTATCGAACAATCACACAGAAACGCGTTTTGCGTGAAGCACGGTTCAATCGTTTTATTCGCCCACTTGAATCGGCTCGCCGACAATCGCCTGTTTCGAGCATAACTGTTCCACGGTCTTACGCTAGGAATTAAAAACCAATATATATATCAAACTTTTATCGATATATGCTAATATCGGCGTGTTTCACGTCTAGCCACCGTATCGACCTCGCTGAGGTACAAGCGTTTTCACGCCTGCCGCGGAATCGTAATGCGAGTTTCGGGATTCGTCGGCCGACCATAAACGTGTCCCGTGTTAACTAATTCCCGATGCGCGGACCGCGATCCGTCGGCTCGTAAACTAGAAGACCGTCGTTTCGGAAAAATACGTCGTAACCCATCTTCGTCCGCGTAGAACCGGTTAAAACCCAGGCGTATTTCATCGCGGCAGTTTTCGCAGTGACAATCCGTATCCGAAAATAGCGAACTGATGACAGGTTGCGTAAAGTGGCAGCACCTTTCAATTCGGATGGCCGACGAATCTTTGAAGAAGAACGAGTTGCGGTCACGGCGCTGCTCGGTTCTTTCATCGCCTCGTTACCTTCGGAACCACGTTCGCGCGCTTCCCGTTTCTGTTCTTGTTAGCCTTTCGACGCTTCCCTTATTAGCTATTTTAAGTTCAACCTTTTCGAAACGGTCTCCGAATACGTAGGCGCAGTCGGAATCTGACGAGGCTTCTCTTGAGAATCCCGGACCAAGGTAAAATCGCATTTTTCAACTGTAAACTACGATGTGACGCAAACGCGAGCTGTTTACAGTGCGATTTCAAGTTTCCAGTGAACTGTAACGCTAGAACTACCGAGCTTTGACATTCACTTCTTGAAACTTCTCTATAGAAACTTCAAGAGTGCATCTATTGAGAGTTTAACTGATGCATGATTCAATTTGCATATTGCCAAATCAATTTCTTTAATAACTCCCAGGGGAGCATCTGCTGCTTTTTAATGATCGCGAAAGGAAGAAATCTAGAAAGGGTCATTTTGACTCGTTCGGTAGTTCTAGTGTTAACGGACGAAGACTCTTCGAAAGATACAAAACCTTCAACATATGAAGCTAATTAGATATCCATTGCTTAATTAATAGAAAAAAAGGAAACTACGTTTTGATCTCTTGCTGTTCGACTAATAACATCAACGTCAAACCGAAACTGAAAATGCAAAATACCCTAAAAATGCACAAAAACTCGGTAAGAGGACCCGTTACAATAGTGACAGGGTTAAAAAGAAAGACGCGATTAATCAGGGGGACGAATGCCCGCATTTCTTCGTGAACGCGAGGCATGCAGCTGTTCTCGTTCACCGAAGCGTGCCGTGAACTATAATATTTAAACCCTATCACGATGATCAACGGCGCGTCAAGGATTTTGAGAATGAAACGGATGCTTTCGTCGATTGTCCGTCATTCGTTTCCGTTCGCTTCTTCATGCCACGAAACGTTCGATTTCCATTTACGTGGGGAAGAAATTGAAAATTCGCGCTTTCACGGGATACCATGGAAAAATGAGTTCGCAGACGACTCGATCGTGACAGGAAGAAATCGCAGCGTCACACGCTTCGGTCATGAAACTCTCGTAACTTCACGCGAGTGAAGTTATTTCCACGCGGTCCGTTCAGAACGGCAAAACCGAAAGGAAAATCACGAGTAAACTCGAAGGAAAATGTTTTAGCGCTATCTTCTCGCGCCACTGCTTCTTCCGAGATTTCTTTGGTATCGATAACAGGCGTTATCTCACGCGTGCCATCGATTCGATTGTGCAGAACGCGTCGCGTTGATGCGCGCCGCTCGCGACATGCCTGGAACGTGTAATTTATGCCTGCTCGATGCCGGTCTTCTTGTATTCGTAGCTTACCGCGAGCACGCAGCCCAACAGGATACGCTTGCAGCTTCGCTGATTCTTCGCGGTCGTCTTTTTTCGGTCGGGAAGTAACATACTCGGACGGACACGGTGCCGCATGCTGTAATTTCGCGGCACGCGCTCGGAACCCTCGTTCCGAAGGAATTACAATTCCACGCGCGCCGGGATAGACCGATCGAGGACTCGAACGGGACTGTTTCGTTTTTCGAGTCTAGCCCAGACCTAGAGACGGTTCACCTGTTCATTCGCTGAAGCGATTAACTCCGCGAAACAAGGAAAAGAAAAGTTTGACCGCTTTATCACTGACATTCGATTAACAATTGAGTTCAATTTCATCTACTCCAGAGTTGGTCAAACCGTGGCGCACGCGCCAAACGTGGCACATTGGATGACTACAAGTGGCACATTGCATCCTTGCGCCTACTTATTCTTTTTAAGTGCTTCAATAAACGTGTGCCTTTTGAACTCACGTAAATTAATGAATTTAATAGCGAGATTGAGTTATTCGTTTTCCACATTTAAGCGAAGCAGATCCTGCTCCTATCTCTATTTTCCTACCACAACCGTGAACATAAGATAGTCGAAGAGGTTCTTGAATTGTATGGTGTATCTGAACTTGTCCGTGAACAAAATTGTCGTATGGTATGCAAAGGTTGTCCAGCTCGGACCTACTCGGTAGAATGACGATTAATCATTTTGCAAATGCGGTTTTTAGGTAATTAGACACTTGGGTATATAATCAATCGTACTGTAAAGTATTTTCTACTATCATGCTTTCCTTCTCTTGTCGCTCGTGTCATCGGCCTACTTCCAGTTGTAAATTCACCGTTAACTGTATATAATTTAATAAATATTTGAAAAAATTGAGAAAACTAAACTGTTGGTAGCTTCGATCTGCAAACGCCTCGATTTTGCGCTAACAGTTGTCTCTTTGATCGGAATAAGCTTTACGAAACGCGGTCGAGCAGAAGCCATCCGTCTTCAACAGCGCCGACGTTAAATAGCCTATGAATGATAGCGGTCGATTCTTTTTTCTTGCTGGGATACCGATGATTTAGGAACACGGGAAGTTTCCACACAGCTTCTCGTCTTAATGGACCACTCCGAAGAGGACACGATTCGGGTGTCGCAACGCGACGTGCCCGGCAGCTACTCTCAATCACGTTGGAACCTTTAACGCTGATTAATTACCGTTATTAATTTGAACCGACCGATCAGCTCGCGGCTCACTATTTTAACACCGTAATTGCTGCAGTTTCACGGCTTCGCCCGCGATGCTTGATATCCTCCATAAATCAACGAGTTATTCGGCAATTAATTAAGCACGAAACCCTCTCGGATCGAAGACACTTGAAATTGAGCGGTGGTCTTCCACCTCGAACAGACTCGATTACAAGTTAATCTCTTAACGGGTTGAATTATGAAAACAGATGAGCAGAACGGGAAGATAAACGGGGTGGGAGGACGGGTTCCGCGTGACGCGCGAGGCAAAAAGAGAAACGATTTACTCGATGTATTCGATTCACTCGTGGGTCGAGGCCTGAACGAGCTCCTTTGTCGTGCTCGCAGCGGCTCGCAGTGTAACGTTACACGTAATTTGCCTCACTTTGTTTCAGAATGCTGCGGGGAAAATGCGTCTTCTAGTTCTAGTGGTGGCGAGCTGCTTGAACGTTCTCGAAATAACTCGTTGTCAAGAGCTTTCGGTCATCAGGCACTCCGATGGAGATATTTTCACCTTGGAAGGTAAGCCGGGCAACAACGCGGACGATTATAAATCTCCTCAGCGTGCCGCCGCCGACGTCGTTTCTTTTTTGCTTGTCCCGCGCGAACTTCTCGAACGGCGACGTCGGACTCGAACGTCGATTCGGAATCCGTTGAAAAACCACCACGATTCCTGTCCGCGGCCGAACGGCACTGTAAATTGCGCGATTGTGATTTGCCTCGCCAAGAGAAATCATGTGGGATCTCGTGCACGGAAAAGAAACGTAAACGCGAGGATTTCGTGCGTGCTCGCCGGTGCGGATACAAAACTTGCATGGAAAAAGGCACGCAGCTGATTAACCATGAAATTACGATGTAGCGGTTTGACAGCTGTATTTCACCTGTCCGGATAATACGTCGCGTTTTGTCCAAGCCACCGCGTGAATTTACTCATCTTAGAAATTCATCTCTGTCCGGCTGTTCTTTTTCGCGAGCGCGAGCGTGTACAGTTACCCGTGTCGTTCGAAGACACTGATATTAACCGTTCGAGTGTTGGATCGGGCTTCTATGGTTTAGTACCTAAATATACCATATTATCGGCCCGTGTCACGTTGGCTGTAGTTTATTCATTTTCACTTTTCGTTTTCTGCTTAGAAATAAAGAACCAACGAAATTGTGACATTTAAGATTCGTTAATACTAGAACTGCTGCGGTTAGTAATTTCATACTTTTTTTATAGAAACTCCAAGAGTGTACCGATGTATAATTCAGTTTACGTATTATCGAATAAATTTCATTATTTGTTTCTCGAAGAAGCATTTATTAGCTCAATATTTGCAGAAGAATTTAGGAAAGAGTCATTTCGACTTACTTGGTAGTTCTAGTGTTATCCCTTTGCACTTCAAAGCCGCTTCTCAGTCTACAATAGATTTGACACAGTAAAATTGTGAAGTTTGATATTTAATATTAAACTTTGTATAACATATCAATATGTGAAATATTGAAAGAAAATAGTTTCCTTCCTCAATGTAAGTGCGATTTCTCGACAAGTCAATATCAGGAAATGTCGTCTGCGTCTCATTATAAAATAGTGAGTAATTCCAGTGGAAGACTTCTGGAGCGCAAAGGGTTAACCCCTTGCCCTACAACAGCGAGTCAGACTTGTGGTGAAGATCTTCAACATGATTCAACAAATATTACTCAGTTTATTCGAACTCAAAGTAAATATGCTTAGAATTTTTCTCTTCTTCGAATAAATTATTAATGACAAAGTAGCCGTATCGATCAGAGTTGAGAGATAAGTCATAGACCAAGGGGTTAAAGCCGAACTAGAGAAGCGTGATCGCGCTGTCACCTGATTTTCGCGAATGATCGCAGCACTTAAACGATTAACACGTTAAGCGCCATGCCAGTCACTGATGACTCAACTGAGTTGATAATAGTGTAATGCAAACATTGTAATACCAAATGATTAATAATTGTCCCTGCTTTTCTTTGCTACAAAAGAAACACTCTACGGGAAAACGCTTAAGATCTTCGTGACGCTTCACGTGTTAAACGACCAGTTCTGAACAACAAAACGCTGAATCGAAACGCAAAATTTGACCTATCAGGTTCCTGCACGGAAGCTTGCTCGGTGCTCAGCAGTGGCACGGCTAGCCCTTACACGCGGCGCCCTTCGACGGCTGGCCTCGTTCCTCTCAACAACACCTGCACTTGCCAATGCAACTACGGCCTACCTACCTTCCGAGAGGACCTTCACATCTGCGTGAATGATATCCACGGTAAGTCGACCAATTATTCGCATCGCGCAGGTACTTTCCACCGAACATAATCGAGTCGAATCGAATATAAGAAACAATCTACTCCATGCATTGTAGCTGAACGTTCCCAGAAGTTTCCTTTCCTGTCAGAAGTTAACCTTCTATGGTTAATAATCTTTTCTCGCGACTACAACGACATTTACATGGTATAAATTTAACAACTATCAATCTATAAGTTGTCACTTATAAATTAAAACGAATATATTTTGTAACTTTCAAGTTATAATGACGTTGAATATTCACAACTGTCTGTATAAAAGTGCAAGTTGATTAACTATTTCATTCCATTCGTCATTTTTCGGTAAAAATGAAATCAACAAGATCTCAGTATATCGATGTGCGACTACAAAGTCAGCTGTGCTTATGGAGGGTTAACCCATATAACGAAATTCGAGTCTGCTTCTTTTCAGCTCTAACCTAGATTCGCTTTGCATCGTGCTAGGTTGTCTCACCATCCGCGGAAACACTTTTCAAAACGAAGTTCGTAACGGTTCGTCGTTCTCCTGCGATTTATTAGGACTTAATCCTCCTCTGTTCATCCGAGTCGCGTTTCATCTTCGCTTCGATAGCTATTCAGCGATAATTCCCGGTATTTATTCCGTTCAGCGGTGCGCGACGCGTCTTCTATTGCTGACCCGAGGGAACCCTCCCAGTATATCGTTTTCGAGTGAACACGGGAATTTCCGTGGACTTTATTTCCTAAGGAAAATTCGCGAGGGTTTCACCCCATATCTCCGTTGATCACGCAATCTCAGGTAGATCGTCCGTTGTCCTTTCCGCGAGCGACTAGTTCCGCGCACGTACCGTTTTCAATCGGACCGTGTCATCGGAAATGATTGCTCCAACTGTTCACGCAAATCGTCCTCGTGCCGCGCGTTTCTAAAGGCGACCTCGGCGTAACGAAAGGATGAACGCCGAGCGTCTCGCAGCCCGTTCGTCCGGATTTTATACGTGTCTGAGTACGCGAAACGTTACAACGTTTACGGACGGGCGACAGTGTGCTCTAGATTGATCAGCGGTCGGACTCGAGTAGCAATAAAAATTCGTCGGTAGCTCCGATTGATTAATAGAATTCGACGAGCACCCTTATTATCGAATGCAAATTAATCGGTCCGCATGAGAATCGGCTATAACGCGTGTAGCCGAATCGACGTAATAGCCGAGTACGGCTGTCCAGGCCAATTAGGTTAATTTGCAAGATGAAACGCATCGCGTGGGGTCTCCGGTTCGGGGAAGAATTAATCGTGATCAAGTTCGCCATTAAAAAATCCGGTGGCTGCCTCCGATTTCGAATTTCCAACTGGTAATGATCGTGTAATGCTCCGCACTTAAAATCTCGTTACACATCGTCACGGACGATCGTTGTCAGGTATCCTCGCGATACCTTGGACCTATAATCGTAATTGGACACGCACGCGGTTCCAGTGAACGCATCAATACCGACGGGACCATAGTCGGCTAGTAATCCTGTAACGCGACTGCGCTTCTTCGACAACAAAGTTGTTGGACCGAGGGATAAGAACAGTTACATGCACGTGTATCGACGGAAATCTTTTCATGACCGTGGAATAAAAAATATCAATAAGGCTGCCGCTTACGAGGTTGGAGCAGGGCTGTAAATTGACGATTACGGGGATCACGGCTTTATATCTCTTAGCAGGCAAGTAACGAGACGCAGGCGCGAGGTTGAAATATTATTGGCTCTGGCATTAGGTGAAACGCTCGTGACCCTCGTGGACCGTTGCAGCGGCATTTCTCGCCAATTTCGCATTTCTAAAATACCAACGAAGCATTGACGACGCGAAGCGGGAGCAGCTGGACGCCGCGCAGGCGTCCGGAGACTTCGATGCGCGCATAGAACGTGACAATGCCAGAAAAATAGACTACGCCGCGAATACGCTCGCTGAATGAATTTCCCGACAGTTCGACCGTTTAGCGACCCTGCTGCTTCCACGGGGAAGGGGAACTTAATTAAACGGCATTGAAAAAGCCAAATGCGCAATATCAGATACCGAGGATTTCCTCCGCGATAAAAGTCTCGGAGCAAAGGTTTATCTCACCGATAATCGTAAAGTTAACGAAGGTTCGCGTAAAAGTCTTCCGAGGCCTCCGAAGCCTCACAACGGTGAAACCGTGAATCCTTTATCTCGCAGCTATTTTAGGAGCATTCCCTAGCACTGTGGAAGAGGTCCTCTTCGTAAAGCCGTGTAAATGCATCGTAAAGAGCTGTGCGAGCAGTGTCGCGCGTCAAGCGGATGCATCGGTTGTTTTTCATTACTCTTCGGTGCAGCTTGTTCGATCGCAGGATAAGATAAACGCAGTTCGCGTATCGATACCCGATCCTCGATCGGAACAGCGTTGATTTTCAATCGAAGCGGCATCAATTCTCGATTGGCGTGCGTTCCTGTATTTGCGTCCGCCCCGGAGGGACCTCGACCGATGACCTTCCAGCCTCGGAAACCATCTCGAGTCATTAGCGTCCGCCTTAGCGGTTTCGCCGTGGTATCGAAGCACCTTCCGTGACCCACGTGACTCGTTCCTTCCGTTACTGTGTTCGAATCTCTCAATTTTCAACACCTCACGATTAACCGTAGAATCCTCTCGCCTTTTACCGCCGATAAATACACGCTTACGCGTTTAATCGCGCCATTGTGCGGTACTCGAGCCAACGAGCATATAATTTTCTTCGACGCGCATCCGAACAGACCCTCGACGAAGGGGAAGGCTTTCCGCGATTCGTGGTTCATGGCTGCACTTTGATTTTCAATGAGGCGCTGCTAGTGGTGGGCTCTAGCATCGCGCGAAAGAAACGTCGGACGATCGCTACTTTACATCAAACTTTGAAGCGGACACGCGTAATGCGTCATTATTTCCCAACGCGAGGCGACGCGATTCATGCACAGATCGCCGCGATCGCAATCACAAATATTGTGGGATGACGGGGTTTTGTGGCGAGAACAAGCACAAGTGCATTTGTATCTTTATTGAAATGGACTATAAGCGACTAGAATGAAACTAAACTATATATCTTATTCTATTCCACGCAATACTACGCTGTTTCACGCTGGTCTACCCTGATCTACTACTCTAGATTCTCGCACTACACTGTTCCACGCTAGTCCACTGTCCCGCTCCTCTCAACTACGAAACTACACTCTCTCACGCTAGTCCACTCTGATCTGCTCTTCTCAACTTCCAAAACTATACTCTTCCAAAAAAGGCCTTACAACCGTCTTAATAAATACTAATCCCGTCAACACGGAGCATGATTCTGCAGGCCATCATCGGCCGCCTGCGAACCGTCTGAGTCCAAGTAACCTGGTCGTAACGGTCCGAGTACACCTGCAGTATCCGGCCTTACGCGTCGCACCCCACAATATTAATAGGAAATACCATCGTAATGACTGGCTGCTGCAGGACCCTATTCAAGTTCGCCCGGTAATATCGCAATCGTCGTGCGTAGCAAAATTTACGATGATTAACGAAGATCACGCGTGTATTTGCATAGGTAACTAACCGAAGTCAATGTATACTCTTCAAAGAGCGCGGCACGTCTGCTGCGGGAATAATCAATTTCTTTGTAGATGACTCGTAATGTCTTTGTAATTTCTCGCATCGACGAGGTAAAAGTGATTTCTGATGAATTTTCTCTGGAAAGGGAAAATTAAAGGTATTCGAATGGGAAACTTTTTGTTCTCGGGATAATAAACTGACAGTGAGTATACAAGAGTAACATCGGTTTTTGATCTCAGCGATATATCTTTCGCTTTATATTTGACGCTCATCACTGCGGATGAATTAATCTTGTATCTTGCGGTCTTCGGAATGATCTGGTAAGGTCACATCGTGTTTCACCTCGCGGCTTGGTAGTAGTTCATCCTTCGATCATCTTTTCTCCTAGTAATGATGCAATAGCGTAGCCCTAAGTACACGTTGCTGGTATGTTACACAGGCGAGACTTAATATTCCGGCAATCCGCGAGCACCGATGGGACGCGTGACCGGCGGCGTACCGTACCAATCGCATGTTCAGCAACGAAGCAGAAGACTCCGAAGGAAATTGCAAACGCGCGTCTTCTCGAGTCGTAACTGGCGTCGATCGAAGCGGTGCAATGTTGATCTGCGGCAGGCAGATGGACGGAGAATAAGTTGAAACGTTATTGTTTCGATTATCCTTTTCGAGAAACGTTTCTCATTCAAATGATCGTTCGACCGGTAACCAACAGATCATTGATTTTTAAGCGAACCCCCATTGTTCTCGGTATTACCAGCGCAACTTGGATGTTGGCAAGAGCCATAAACTCGAGGAAATAGCCACTATCGCCTGTCCATCATCCGCGCAGGCTCCATGTTAATTACACCGAACGACGTGCCTTGTAAATTGTACACGTGCGCCTATTACTCATTGCTACGGGCGAGAGCACGTCGAACAAAGATTGCTCGTCCGACGCGACGGTCGCGCGTTACGAACGCACTTCGGTTCTGATCTGTCTTGGTTAGGTCTTCGGTTAGGTCTTGGTCGCCGAGATTGTTGTTGCCCGTGGCTACATCCGCCGCGGTTTTATGAAAGCGTACAGCTTGCAGGGAAAAAGGATTTAGCAATTAACGTTCGAAATAAATTGTAATACTTCGTAAACATTCACGGAGCCGTATTTAAAAATCCGAAGACGACATTTACGTCCCCGTAAAGAGCCGTATCGCTGAAAATACGATCAAGGGGATCGCGGACTGCTATAGGAGTCTCTCGTAAAAAGAACTTGCTCGCGGAACGTTCATTTTTGGTCGGTACACTCTCGAACAACCGGCAGGAAATCGTGAAATTGTCTTCTCACTTTCGTCGGAGCGGCGCACGATCGAAGCGAACGACGTCCCGTCTGATTTCCTTCGATCGAGCGTCGATCAGCCGACGTCTCTCATTAAAGCGGCCACCGAACGGCGCACGATTTACGATAATCGGACAGCGGAGAGCAATTAACACCGGCAGCGGTGTCCACGGTGTGTCCCCATTCGGTCGTAGGAGTGCTCGCGCAGGCTTCGGCTACTTCTGCCTTCTACGATCGAGCGTCGGATAACGACCCGTTGATTAACGATCGGCAAGCGCGACCTCGGGAACCGAGTCAACGGGACGATCCGCGCCGATGAACCCTGACCTTCGTCGAACGCCGCCGAATCCCCGGGATGCGGAACGAGCACGCTCCTTCGCCGCTTGATAGATAGTGTCACCGAGGAATAGAAATCGTGGAATTATGGGCTCCCGTGCCGATAACCCACGCAGATACCTCGCCGACAGGATTCGTGGAGCTCCGCTGTTCGCGTTACAGTCACCGAACGTTTCACCGTTAATCTTCAGTCAGTCTTTTCGCGAAAGACTATTAACTAAAACTGATTCATTACTTTCGTTGCATATATTTCTCCTGCGTTATTCTCATCTGAACTTTCGTTACCATTCCTTTTTGTTAAAGTACAATAAAAGGTTTCAGGCGTCCCTTTCCGTAGTTCTCCCCGCTCGCTTAAGGAAGACAGGTTCGATAAATTCGTCGGTAACACTTCCGTCCGGTAATAAGGCGACAGTCGGTTATCTCGGTGAGAAATGCGTGCGTGGAGCGGAAAAGGACGATCGCGGGGGGAATCTGAATGCAATGAAGACCCGCTTACCGAGCGGACAGAAGACACGCAGCCGGAATGAGATATCGTTTCTTGCGGTACTTTTGATCAGCGCGACGCAGAGTCCCTTGGCCTCCGGTTCTCGGCGTAGCTGTATCCTCCCGGATCGGTTATTTATCGGCCGCGGAAGGGACACGGCCGGCCTTGCAAACGGCGAAAGACAACGTCTGACACGGCCCCTTAACCCCGGGGACCGGTGTCACCGATAATTCCGGCTCGGACGCGGCTTCCTTCTTTCGGTAGTCGACATCGTCGAACGTGGGAGGGACGCCGGTAAAAACCACTCCGTCCTCTAACCGTAAACCGTCCCGTCAGTCGCGAAATAAGAAGAAACCTCGCGATATTTCTGCCGTTCATTCGATACCGATACTCGAGCCAAACCCGGCAAGTGCTAACTCAAAAGATTCCGAGCGTCGGAGGAACCCCATTCCCAGGCATTTCCAGCCTGTCCCCTTGACTAATGTACGAACACACTTCGATACCGTGTATCGAAGCTTACGTCGGATAAGAAAATTCACGAGCGTACGCTTGAGATACCTCCAACGAGCTTGGCCCGCGAGCCCGGATGTTTTCGCGAAACTAGTAAAACTGGTACCGTTTGCGGCTCGGAAAACTCGAGGGGAATCGACGGCGGGAAAACTCCGCGCGACACGAGATTTATAAAGTTGCTCGTTTCGATCGGAACGACGATACCCCACCGACGGAGGAAGGGTCCGTGTCGAGAATGCAAGAGACGTTCCCGCAACGGGGATACTTTAGCACCTTTACGCCGCGATTCGCCACAGGCGAGGCGCCATTAACGCGTCCGGTCGCATCTGTCGACGGCCGACTGTATCTCGATGTTACGTTGCGCACTGCCGGCAGGGGTTCCGGCCGATGAACAGATCTCGCGTGGATGTAAACAGCCTCGTATCTGTCAGCTTCACCGCTGTTCGCTGACGCGACGGATAAGTAGTCGGGACTAATTCGAGCCCAGTTGTCCCGGAATTTACGGACGCGCGGATCCCATCCGAGGATTCGCGGAATCGGTTCCGAGGGAACGAAATATCGATGGAAAATCCGCGGCACTCTAACGACATTAAACTGTATACGGGAGTCGACGCGATTTGCGATTGCGTCGAGGGAGATACCGGTTCCTTAAAGAGAGTCCGCGATAGGATAATGCTTGACCGTTTATCAAGATTTAAGCGTCTGATGAGGTTACCGTGCGCGCAGCTCGAATGCCTGAAAATGGATAAAACAGGTTATTCCGGAAAATGCCGTTCCACGCTGAATTTTTAGAGGACCTTGAAACGTCATCGTCCATTCTTCACCGGTTACAAGGGAACCGGTTGCAAAAAATCCGACATACGGCGCGGCCATTTCGGTGAACTGTCGCGAAACAGAGCTACCCTGGCGTCAATCGCTACCCTGCGATTGCAGCTCGCGCCGTGTGTAGCCGAAGACAAATATTTATGCGCTGCTGGATAACTCCCGGAGTTGGGTTATCGAATTTTATTGCTTAATCAAGCGATAAATTTCGAGAAATGTACCAAAGAACAGATTTATCGCGAATGCTGCCTTGTACGGCATAGAACGCGGCCTTTTAACGAGCGTATATCACGCTTAATTGCGTGACGCCGAATATTAAAATTGTCTAACGTATTTATATATACAAGGAATTGAAGGCAACCGTTTATCACCGAATACGGTCGATAGCTGAAGACACGCGTGAGCGTTCGATCGGACAAAGGAGGATACGAGCCTTTTTGAAAGTGCTTTTGAATCGTGCGGACCCTTACGCGACTTCCATTAACCCGATTCTGGCTAACTCGTTAAAAGGATATCATTGTTTCTCACGGAGAAAGCTTGTGGGAGAGTCTCGTAGGTCTTCAGAGACTTTCCTCGAGAGACTCGCGTGCCCTCCGTGGCACGTGGACGCTAAAGGAGAAAATGTTACCAGTCTGATTTGCATATTTACCGATCCACGGTCAGGACCTTGACCGTCTTGTTCCATTGAGGCTCGTTCAGCACCGTTTTGTCGTATGTGCACGAATGCTTCTCTGTCAGGGAGAGTAGTTAAAATTCAGTTGAATCGACTGGGCTCGATTATAATTTTCGTTTTCTGTCTTGTTCGTCCGGGAGAAAAAACAAAAGAGATTCTATCCCGGAGGTACACGGAATCGAACGCAACCAGAAGTCTGCGGTCGATTAGCATACCAATGAGACGCGACTTTCGCGTGACTTTGTGGACGGTAAAATTGAAACTACAGTTTAACGTGCTCGTTGTTCGAATCGTCCGCGATGAATGTGATCCTGAATTGAAGATTAAAGGTTGCGGCGGAACGCGCCCTGCTCAAATCGAACGCATTAATTCGGATTATACGTTTACCGGGCCGCGTCGTTCCCAGTGCTCGGAGATGGTACACGGTGCGGCGATACACGGCGGTTCGCGACGATTTGCATACACAACAGCTGCACCGGTCGTTGCATCCAATGACCCAGACCCGCAACGAGAAACATCGTTACTTCTCGATGTCCTCCGGAAAAGGAATCCGCGCGCTGTTCGAAAGTTCGATGATTCATTCGACCGAGAGGCTCGGGATGGGTTCCGCGAACCTCTCGCTGTCCGGTTTTATTGGCACGCGAGACCGAAAGTTTATTATCAAACTCGTTCGGGACCCTTCGGTTTATTAGCTCGATATTCCGGACGGCCCGGTGTGGTATCCGGTGATTTGTCCGACGCACCGCCGAAACAGTATTCTTTTTTTCTGGACAATTGTCGTTATTAAAATCAACGCCGGCGACGTCCGTTCCACGTTGTCCAGTTATTTTTGACGAGAAAGAACGTCCGGGCAAAACGTTCTAAGACCGGTTCTATCAGCTCTGGAATTATTCGCGGTGAAGTTCGCGGACCGGTCAACCGAATTCGGTCATTACCGATGGGACTTGTATTAACATTTTAACGATTGGTCTCCCTCCGTCGCGTCGCTCGCCCGCCGGTAGTAATTAATTAAGAATTAAACGATGTGTTTCGCGACGATGTCCGAGAAATTCTCTGACGGAGAACACGAAAGTCACATTTCATAGGCTGGGAGGTCTTCGTAATTGATAGACGGAAGAGGGAAACGATCCTTCGATCTCTACGTCGGAATTGGAGTCGCATCTTTTCTCAGCAGTCGACAACGCTGTAACGAAATTCGGGTTCGATCTGAAGGACGATTGTCTCGAAGAACAAACTCAAACATTCAGACATTCTATTTCTTGGGGAAAGTATGTGTAGAGAATCCGTACTAGAAACACGATTGAGCATAGAAATGTAAAGTATATTATAGCGTATTTTTGTTATACCCTAAAACAGTTCTCTCGACAAAGCCGTTTTCCACTTCGGGTTTCCTGAAACAACATTAAAATTTACATTACACTCTACAGGAAACTACTGTGCGCGAACGCCTTAACACGTTCGCTATCAACGCTTATTTCGGTGACAGTCTCCTCAATTATATTTTCTTCAATCCAATAAATCTAAACAACATATTAGAAAAATGAAACAGAAACGAGTCATTAAGTTCCTAAATATAACGTCGTAGTTTATAATTTCTGATAACAATATCCATAGGATTAATTTCATTTTCATTATGTAAAATATAGGATTACGGCCGTCACAAATATGTGACCCTAGTAGCGAACGTGTTCATCGCTTGCAACAACGTCGAAGTCTCTTTCGATCGCGGAGGTTCCGTTTCAATGGCGACCGTCTCGTCCTGCATGGCGGTTTCTCCATCGAAAGGAGCGTTTCCGCTAAAGACATTTCGGCCGCATCGACGGATACCAGTTTCGTGCGCCGTTTCCCATCTCCTCGCAACGAACAGTATAATTGTAGTCCGTTGAGATCACTTCGAGCGATAGTTGCTTCGAAATTACAAGCTGTCCCTCGAATTCGGCAAATTGTCAGTTGAAGGAGACGCGAAATTGCAAAGGGGGAATGGATACGCCTTAATTTATGCTTCCTCGAAAGACACACCGCGCTTTGGAAACTCGACGGGATACGCGGGAGATGTTCGATCCGCGATTGTCCACGCCGCCCATTATCCGTCTCGCAATTACCGTCTACGGAACAAAGTGTGGAAAGAGGCAAATGAATCGGACAAGTATTCTGAACGAATACGATTCAACGCGACGAAGCAGCCGAATTGCGCGGTGTTCTTTTCAGAATTGTTTCCCACGGCGAACATTCCACGAATCACACAGTGCGAACGGAGAATCGAAAGAACGATTTCGAAAAGTGGACGGTACGTTTATCTTTCTGATTCCAGAGTGCAACGTCGCGGGTTTCGTGAGCAACACGGGCCAGGTAGAGAGAGTACCGTACGTTTTCCTGCCTCAACGCGGACAAATAATTTATCCTCACGCGGAGATTCGCTTCGAAGGTCAGTCTTTTCTTCGATTTTCCCTTGGTTTCGTTTTGGATCGATTCGAGCGTTTTCAAAAGACAATTTGACGTCTTTTCCATGCGTGACGCGCCGCCGCTCGAAATACTAAGGTGTGACGACACCTGTGTGCGGAATCACCGGCGCTCAGCAATTAGGCCGAACAGGATGGTCGGAATTGAGGAACCTCTCGGACACCGAACCACCCTTCAGGCTATATCGTGACGAAGGCAGGACGTTTCTGCAGGTTGGTGACACTCGTTGGTATTGAATAAATAAGTTATTAGGTTCTCGGAACGGGTGAGATTGTAATTAACACGTTGACTGCTACGACGAACATCAATGTTTTATGTGTTTATTCTTTCCGTAGTAAAGATTAAACAGAAGAATTATTAATTATTTCGTATCACAATTCTTACGTTACACTATTGTCTAGTTATTTACGTCACTGAATATTTTCGACGTTAGTTGTCTTATAAATTATAATTATTTTCTTGTAATTTTGATGCTGCAAGGAGGCAATTTTCGCAAATAAAGCGAACGAGAAGCGATTCTTTTAAACCGAAAGATCACTTTTCAATTGCTACGAGAGCTATCGAGTGAATTCACGTACAAATTCCTTTTCTCTTCTGCGATCCGTTAGTATTCGAGAGATTCCTTCGATGGTTGGTTCGCAGATACAAAATTTCGTAACGCTTATCTCCGCGAGAATATTAATCTCCATATGAAATACGGTACACTTAAACTTCGAATACTTGTCATAATTTCGAAGAACACAGCAGAGTCCCTTCGATACTTGTAAAAACGGTGATGTAAGGGTAATATCGGAGTCTCGAGGGGTGCCGTGTCCGAAAGAACGGTTGGGGACGCGGACCACGAGCGCGACGTAAAATTTAATAACACGGTTCTACCGGTTGAATCGTCCGCGTAAAAGGAACGATCGCAGCAGGGTACGGAAGATATGAAACGATCACAATCGTTTACGATTGAACGCACGACGAGAACGGCAGCTTTTAATTTTCATTATTCTCCCGTCCGGCGGGCGAACGGTTCTAATTGCAAGCGACCTCTCGTTCCAGTGGATCGGCGAGACTGGGCTGAAAGAAGCAGCCGAAGGTCGCGTGGTCACGGCGAAGCTGGTTTGCAGGGACGCCTCCTCGAAGTCAAAGTACACCGGCGTGTTCACGCCTTGCGTAGCCTTCAGGGTGGCTGGCTCACCCTCCAAGAGCAGTGAGTAGCGGCGCTCCGGCGCGCGACGGTTTTCTACTCGCGTCGCGAACAAACGCTTTCCTTTCACCGGCGTGTCTTCTCGTTCAGGCGTCCGGGAAGTGATGTTCTCTTCGACGTCGCAGCTGTCCCAAGGGCTTTCCACCACGGAATACACAGCCATTGGTCTCTCCTCCGTGATCTTGGCTCTGATCTACGTGGCGAGCGTCTCGCTCTACCTTCACAGCAAGAAGACCAAGAGGAAGATCATCGAAGAGCCGGAAATAAGCATTACACCAGGCCGAGAACCGAGTGGACTGGTCAAGAGCAACCCGTTGCTCGCCGCTTCCAGGCACTTCGAGAGCGACACCAACAGCGGCTTAACGGAAAGCGATCTCGGCGACGATCTTCCGGCCAGCGACAGCGAGCAAGGATTTGAAAATGTACGCGGTACAAGTCTGTCTGCTCGATCGAATTCCTCTCTTTCTCGGAAGTAGTTCCGAGATGTTTCAACGTCTTCTGAAACCACAGGTAACGTCGGCCATCGTTCATCCCCACTGCATCTATCTCGAACAGTCGGAAGTTTGTTTCGGGTCCGGGTCAGGATCCGGATCGATCTTAGGCGAGAGGTTGCCGGAAGAAGATGTTCGAGTGGTGGAGACTGCGGACAACCCTCATCAGCAAGACGTCCCCGTATTACCCGGGGCTCAAAGGAGGAAGTTGTATTTTAATCCTGCCTACTTTGACAAACAACTGTTACTGGTAAGCCGTTTATCGCAGAGCATCGTCGGGAAAAGTAATTGTAATTGTTTAATGTAAAATACAGTTACTTGCCATGATATTGCAAATGCACGGCGTTGCCTTTAGCATTCGGAATCCTCTGTGATTTCAGGCGCGTTCGCGGATCGAAACACCTTGTCGAGGGCATCGATACAAGAAAATTGATTTTCTTTCATTAATATAGTGAATTCATTTAGGATAAAATTAAACAATATAGCTCATGTTATATTAAATCAAGATGGGATTATTCAATTATAGTTTTCAAGTGAATAGCGCTCTAGAGGATTATGATCTCGGCGTTGAATTAAGATTTTTAAATGTAAGAGTTGAAATATTAACCCTTTGCACTCTGAAGATTCTCACTAGAAGTATTTATCATTTTTTGACGAGGCAAAGACGACATTCTTTGCAACTAACTTCAACAGAAATCACAAGTGCATTGAGAAACGAAGCTATTTTATTTCTATTTCTATTTCATGTATCGAGGTATTATACAAAATTATCAGATTTTACAGTTTTACTGCGTCAAATCCCGAGTGCAAAGAGTTATGGTAGCTCGGATTTTTTCCAGGCTCCCCCTCCAGCAGCGATCGAGTTCCTCCTGAAGATCCGCGAGGTGATCTCTATCGCGAAGCACAAGATGGCTGCAAAGAAATTTGTTCCTACCCTGAACGGTGAGTCAATTTTCTTCGATCAAGTTCGTTCATGGATCCGCGCTTATAGTCTTTTGTTACGTCGTAGGTATACCGGAAGAGGAGAACAGTTCGGATTGGTGCGACTCGACAGGCAAGAACCGACAACGATCGTCCTCGAGCTCGTTTCAGGGTTCTCTCGCGAAGACACGGATGTCTCAGCGATGCACCGGATGCCCCGGATGTACCGAGCTTCCCCCGAATACGTTTGGCCTCTCGGAATCGGATCAACCGAGTCCAGGGGAAAGCAAGGTTCGAGCATGGCTGGAAGACATGAGTGCGCCGCAACGTCGCTGGCGAGACGCTGAGGATAACAACCGACGGAGCTTCCAAGAGAACAGCGCCGCCTTTGCAAACGGCTTGGCGTTTCCGAAAGAGCTAGCGAAACGCGACGACTTCGACGAAAAAGCGGAGAATTCAGCAGAGAGAACTCTGTCCTCGTGGAAGACGAAACTGGCGATGTCGAAGAACTTCCGGAGCGGGACGAGAAGTGAGATTCTCGAGAGCGACGATCGACAGAGCCTCTCCGTGCGCTCCGTCAAATCAATGTTCGAAGAATTTCATTGCAACGGTCGACGAGACAGAGACGCCTCGAACGCGGCCAACGGCGATGACGCGGTAAACGCAAAAGTGAGGACAGCGATCGAGAACTCGTTCGTTCAGCAGATGGAGGAAAACGCTGCTACAGAAAAGGCGACTACCGAGACACGGAGGAGCATGGAAGAGAACGAAACTGTGGAGATCGAAATCGAGCGCACCGCGAACTCGACGAACCTACCGACGGAGGATAGATCTCCGTGTGATCGAACGAAAAAGGGGAGAAATGTAACGTTGACGAAGAAAGATCTGCCGGACATGATCAACGAACTTCCCAACCGTACGAGTACAGCGAAACGCATTATGGACGCCGTGATTCGCGAGATGGTGGATGCCAAAGTGTTGGAACACCATGCGAGATCCGAGAACGCGATGGACTACGAAGTGGATAGTTTGGAGCGGTCGAAATGTAGTAGAAAGTCGTCCATTTCGCCGGAGTCCACCGATCAGTCAAGTCCCGCTCTGTCCACCGCCCTACCGATGGACGAGGAATTGACGATGCAGAATGCGGTGATCGACACTAATACCGGCGAGATGATGACGATAGCGATCCCCGCGCTGAACAAGGACGTACTCGAAAGAAACTACTACAACAGTCTACCCGAGTTGATCTCTTCGCAAAGGTATGAGAGCTACTCTTTGGTAAGCGAGGTTTACGTGAACGATGGCTACGACAGTCCTGCCTGCAGCGACGAGTCTGGTCCGGAGATTCGGTACGAGCCGGAGAACCCTGGCCACTTGACCATCAAGGTGCAGGATTCGCCTGAGAATTACGCGAGGCTTGACGAATCGGAGTATGAGCCTGACACGCTGGACCGGAAACCGATGAAATTAAAAATCAATGACGACGTGAACTACGAGAAAGAAGTCCCGAGCGAGGTCTACGTAGATTCCCTCGAGAGGCCTGCTCAAATACTGCTCAAGAGCAAAGGCAGTTTCCGCGATCAGGAGTCCACACGCAACGAAGCCTGTCTACACCGCAGTTACGGCAGCCTCCGCGAGATCTATGAAGCTCGATTGAAGTTCAATCTACCGGATTGCAAAACGAACGAGTCGTCGTCGAACGATCATCTGGAGGACGCCGGAACCTCGAAAAGGAGCAAGTATCTAACGCCCGACACCAGACAAGCGAGGAGGCAACGTCAACCGAGCAACCATCCGGACGTGGTGCCCCTACCACCTATGGAGGATGTTTATCAGCATCCGAAATCTTTGCAATGCGTGAAAGACGCGAGGCAATCTTCGAACTCGTCTCTGTCAAAAAACGGCTGGGACAGGAGTCCTGCCGAAGCGGGTGACCCTACGACCAGCAACGGTGCTCCTGTCCTCAGCAACGATTCCAACGTAGGGACCATTCTGTCTTGCCGCTGCAAGGTTCTTCCAGTACAATCTGAAGAATTGGTGACGGCTCTACCCGACAACTCGTCGATCGAGACATCGAAGAAAAGGAGGAAGAAAATTAAGAGGCACGACCAGGAAACGATGCAGGAGAAGTGTACCGAGGACGCCGGAAATTCTAGTCAGCAGTTACCCGTGTGCTGGAACAACGCTCGTTACCCGGTGAACAAGAGGAAGTTTCCGGTTCGCTGTCATCTTCACGGATCTGCCTTGAAGAATAGTACGTTCGGAGAGTCCTGGGAGGAGCAAAGAAATTGTGAAGACGCTTCGTCTTGCCCTCGCAAACATTCGAACAATCTTCCTGATATGAATACAATGAATTGCTTGCCTGTCGACTATCGTAGACCACGGGCTAGAGTCGAGGATAGTGGATACCTGAGCAGCACGGACAGCAATAGCTCGCAGAAACAGTTGCTTAGGCACGAAGCGAGTAGCGTCTCGGAAACGGACGAAACCGAATCCGTCTGCGACGGGGCTAGTGAGAGTGGCGCTGAGAGTGTAGGAACGGACAGCGTATTTTTCGGGAACGTTTGCAGACTGTCGGAATTCTCTGGCTTCTCGAAGAGCTTACATTCAGATGCGGAAATTAAGCCAAGGAACGCGATTTTTCAGCCGTTCACCGCGAGAAATGATAATGTAGGCTTCGAGAGAATATGCTTCAGCGCTAGCGACAGCGAGACAGAGAGCTTTGTCACTGTTCTTCCGCCTTGTGAAACGACCCCAGAACTGGTTTAATTCAGTCAACGACGATAACACGTGTATAGTTCTCGCTATCGTTGATCTAAATTTACGATGGTAATTGAAATTTCAGCTATAACTGCATTTCGGGACAATCCTAACTGTCTCGTCACTTTGACGCATCGATTCTTCATCCTCTTGGAGACTATATTTCCCATTTTCTATTTCTGTCCTATTTTCTAAGAAGTTCAACGAAATTAGCTGATTTCGAAGATTCCGTCCACGCAACTGAATAGCGAATAAAATCAAAAGTAAATTGCCATCGATAAACGTAAATGAATCTTTAAACGATACCGTAGAATCATCCTTCGGCTTGTCCGGTGATATGTTTCCGGCCAGTATGTTATTGTTAAGCATTTAGTTTACATTTAGACTAATTAAACACGAATCAAACGCCACGCGTTTAAAAGTTCGTCAAACGGGTAAATGTTCAATTGCTGTCTGCTCGGTTAAGAATCTTGCAATTGCGACATTCAGAGGTAGTTAAAGAATCTTAAGTAACCGAAGCTGGTACGTGATTGACATAATGATTTAGCAATGATGTCAGGAACCTTATATACTTCGCATTTCTAATATATACGTAGTTCTTATCAAACAATTATATTTACGCGAGCTTTACAAGTTACGAATTTGTATTTTATTCGGGCGGCATTCATTGACACCCGACGTTGCTTAACCATTGCCATCATAGAGTCTAATTCAACTATACAAAACGGCCGGAAGTGCAATATTACATTTTAGAGAGGAGCACTGTAGCTATTTGTTAATGGCGATACTTGTATCCTTATCGATGAATAGTACTTATGTGCATTAAATACGCGGTAATTAGGATTAATTGCTAGTCGATACAATAACTCTCTAAGAAAGTAATATAAAGATATTACCAGTTATTAGTATTATGTTAGTAGTAAACACCATTGAAGTAAGATTAAACAGATAAAAGAATCTGATGAAACATCTTTAAACATATCACCAAATGTAGCATCGA